TAGAATTATAGTTTGATTTATTAAATCTTTATTTTCTTGGAACTTCTCTGACAAAATCAGCTAAATATCTGCAAAAAGTCAATGGCACTGAATCGATGCCGTTATTAATTCAGACTAGCATAAGAGTTACTGTATGTAACCTTTATTGACTTACAAACTTCTTATTGCCAATGTGAATTGCAATCACGTGACGCATTTATAAAAAAATACTTTTTATAAATATCATGCAAATTTAATGTAATCAAATAAATCATATTTTCATTGAAGTTAGATATATATTTTTGAATTTAATGTATGTATTTCCAAGAATAACAGAATTTTATAGTCAACTTCTGTCAAGCACATGTTTGCCACAAAATCGTGATAAGTTTGTAATGCACCACCCTAGCCAACCAGTTCTAAAGGCTGTTAAAATGCTCAAATTTACATGGTTCAAGTTATAAATACATCCACTGTATGTATCCACAGTTTTTTGTTTTGTTGTAAATGTCTGAATCATACAGAACAATAAATACTTGTTACTTGACAAATGATATCAGTGACATGTTATATGGCTATAATATATGTTATAAAACATCAAAATAGAGTAAGGTTCTACCCAGAAGCCAGTAAATATAATAATTGCTTTGGTTGGAGAACTTTCTGTAAGATAAGTTTTTGAGTTAAATTACATTTTTCCATTTCTCTTACTCTTACCATGTGTGTCACTAACCTTATGTATTTCTAAATAACAAGTTTTATAAAAAAAGAAAATAGTGTTTTTTCCCTCAACAAATTAAAGAGTGTAGTGCATATACTGATAAATGCAGCCATTCATCGCATTTATACACACAGCTACGTTTATAGTGTGGAGACACAAGTAACACTTTAATCAAAATAACTACATGTATGTCAACAGATTAAACTATAATTCTATTTAACTAAGGTTTGAAATACACCAAGGGAAGACACAATAGCACTCTACATACGTGTACATATGACATCCTAAAAAATAACTGAAACCATTACAGCATTACTACCTTTGTAAACTCTGGTCAGACTTGCTCATAGCTATAGCTATGAGTCTTGATGAGTGTCATATACAGGGCAGGGTATGATACTACATTCTGAAATACCTGATACCACTTGGCTCAACCAAGGTGTCAGTCTTGTAATGGTTTGATCTAACAGCTACATGTATATTCACTACAACAAACTCAAAATGAACTAAGATGTGAAAATGTCAAACAAACCTAGCAGCTTATGGAATCCTATATAAAGTAAGCTTACATGTAACTTTATGGTAATAAGGAAGTATAACGTAAGCTATATAAAGTATGTACTTCAGAACCAGCGGTATTGGAAATGGAAATTTGCTGCCTTCATAACACAAAAGCAGTCAATCAATAAGAAAGAATTTACAAGTTGATCAGTAGCAAGCAGACGACATTTAAAGGGTAATGAAACAAGTGGTTCAATCAGTCAACAATTAAACCACAGTAGAAATATTCTGTACAGTTGTCACTTTAATGGAGCTAATAAAGTAAGTCTTGATCAGGACTCACTGGTAATCAGATAATAACATGAAACCTATTTCTCCAGACTCGCTCTTTATATAGGAGAAAGTCTGATGTTATGCTGGGAATAGAAGAACTGCTAGGTAGAAACATGAGACAAAGAATCAACAAGTCCATCATGTCAAGGGTTTTCTTCCTGCATGGACTTCTTTACTGTCTTTTTCTTACCCAAGATTTTCAAAGGCTTTCTCAAACATATATGCCTTTAGTTAAAATGCATTATAAAGCTTAGAATTAAATACCCTTAAGCCAACCATGCATTATAAAGTTTAGAATATCCTTTTAACCGTACAATATAATGAACTGAAATAGGGTTTAACATCCTACTTTTCTGCACTGACTTGCATTATGTGTAGTATAACCTGCAATGTGGGGGAAATACAACTGAATCCCAAGATTACTTAGTGTCTCTCGACCATTAAACCACACATATGCATTAACAAGTACTGACACAGAGAAAACGGGGCATAAATTAATGAATTTTAAACTGAATGTAAGATACCAAAATCATTTTATAGTTTCCTGTACTTTTGCTCATAACTCTGAAAACAGAAAAAGCAACCAGGTATTGTAATTAAAAATTTAATAGCAAATACACTCTTCCTGAATTATAAAACACATTTAACCTTAAGCTAACATAAAAAATATGACAAAAAAATAAATGCCAGCTGCTGCAAAAGGAGAATGTCCCAGGGCCATGCTAATACTGTTCTTAGTAACCTTGTTCATATTGTTCAATGGATAACACATGGATAAGCTAACTCGTTTGTACTTTTTAAAGACTTTGCTTGAATGAAGTAGTGGAAATAAACATTATTCAGATATATTTGAATCTTATGGTTCATTTCTTTATTGGTATTTCTGTTTGAATTAAAAGTGTTTATTACTTTTTAAGAACTCCTTTTTCAATAACATTCTATAAATAATCAAAGTTTTAATAACTATGCACTAAGATAGGTGACTCAAATGGAACAATATGAGCCTTGAGCCAAAGGTAACTCATGATCAAGTGGTTGCATAAATAGACTGGTACATATTTAACACTAAAGATAAATATATATTTACATTTAAAAAAGAAGTCTAATACACGATGTATGTATGTAGGTAGGTATATGACATACTTCATTTTATAGGCATTTACTGGTAATATTTGGTAATAGTTCAGATACACGAAGCTTATAAAATACTCTAATATAAAGGTGAGTTAATTGGTAATTTAGTCAAGACAGGTTTAACCTTAGGTAAACAACAGATACTTAATCAAAGGCTAAAGTATCATTTATGGCCATAAGATCAGATCTAGGTATTACAAACCTCAAATCCCTAGATATCTTTTAAAATGTTCCAAAAAATCCCCCAAAAATTTTAAAATGTTCCAAAAAATCCCCCAAAAATTTTAAAAAAGGAAAAACATCCACAAAATAAAAGTTGGATAACTAGCGTACCTATGTTGTAAATGAATTGAATTTAATATAACGTATTTCAAAATATTTGACTAAATATACTACAATAATACATCCTTACAGAATGATATAAACAAACTAACAAAGAAATGGTCAGTTGTCAGGATATAACTTCAAACTGGACAACTGACCATGTGTCGATTCAGTCTTATTGAAATGTATTGTACCCACCTCTTTGTACTATACAGTGACTCTACAAGTTGTAACATTTTATTACACTTAATAACACATCACTATTTACTATAGGCCTCTATGTCATGACACATAATTCCTAATAACACTATTATAATCCACTGTCATCATAATCCAGAGTGATATATTAATCATTTAATCCTTAATATGCCCATAAGCAAAGAGCAAAACACTGTGTGCTGTTGGTGGTTGGAACTGGGTCACACACACTGGTCCTTACATTCACTATAAAGCTGACAGTTGAAAGTTGCATTATTCAGTCAAGGGCACATAACTCTGCTGGACATAAAATCAGAATCTAGCAGACATCATTTGCATGAAAAAGGACCTCACAAAAGGTTAGTTTACAAGTTAAGCTTGGTTAAGTCTGACATGGAGGATTAAGATGTTTACTAAAGGGAGAGGAACAACTTGAAGCAAAGCATCTGTGTGCTAAGAGGATTACATTGACAAAAGATGTGTTCTAGGGTAATGTAACAAGTCACCAGTGTCTAAAAATTAACTATATCCATGTTAAAAATTCCTCATACAAGCTTCAGTAACAACTGTATCCTATTGACAACAGTCACTTAGGATTAAAAACTTTAACCTTTGCATTGCAAAGTCACAAAAATGTCCTATTCTGCAGATGAGTCAACTAAGAATAATCTGGGTTTCCAAATTTAACCAACCTAACATTCTCTGAAACAGCTGTTTTACATTTGGTTTGAAAACAATATAACTTCAATTGAATCCATATGTAAAACTCTAGAACTCGTAAATGTTTCGACTGTCCATATTGCACATTAGTTTTTCTGATCACTGCTGACTTAACCATTTGAACCCAGGGCTCCTGAGCAGCAAATGTTCTTAATACTTAATCAACAATGCCTCAGACAAATACATGTAGGCTACACATGGGCATAAGGAATAGGAAATCACTTCATACTACAATCATACCGTAATTAAATATTCAGTTCAAATTTTGAGTGTGTCTCCAATAAATTGACTTGGACCACTAAAATCTAATATTTGAAATCCCAACTGTGTTATTGTACATGATTGGGTTTCAAATTTGGAATTTACTGGCATGTCAAATAGATGTCCTGAATTTAAGTAATTTGAAACTTTAGACAAACAATTTATTTTGTAAACATCTACATCCTCAAATGTTTTTTCATTTTTTTTATTCAAATTAAGAATTATTTCAATTTGATATGTCTAAAATTCAATACAAGCAGCTCCAACATATTTTATGGACTTAGTTGATGTAATGTGTGAAAACAAATATGGATAGCCTACTATTTTTAATTGCATATTTGAAATGAACCTAGCTAGAGGACTATTAACAAATGATCGAAATCTGAGTACAACTTAGGTGAGCAGCAAAGGGTTTAAGGCCCTGCAGCAAGTACCAGTAGTTGTATGACATTTCAATCATATTTTCAGTTTTGCATGGTTTCTTCATATAATAAGAAAAAAGAAAGAAAAATTGAAGTTGTTTAGGTAGGTCAAACATTTTTAATAGTGGTGTGAATAGATTTAATTTTTTGTTTACATAGTGTGAATCTGGTGATTGGAAAAATACATGTGGCACAACTGTACTAAAGGATTTCATAGTCCAATATATAGTTTTTTGTGTACACCATTCTGACAAAGTGGTATAGACACGAGAATTCACGACAATCTACAATAAAAACCCCCATTAAATATGAACTCTTTCTAGAACACCTGATACAACTTCTAATTACTTGGTAATTTTGCAGAGTAATTCTGTTGTATTTAAGAATAGGTATGTAAATATACTTACTAGTTACTGAACTGTCCAGGTTTATCTATAGGTGGATTATGTACCTGGAGAAAACAGACAGATATTATTATAACATCTATTAATAATAAACTGTTAAAATGCAATTATCATTTTTGTAACTCAGAATAGATTAATATAAAAACAAACAGAATTTACATAATTATATGAATGACATACAAATTACTAATTTCATTCTATTATTACATTAACAAAATAAATTGAAATATTAAAACATGCAAAGTATATGTTATAATAAATCTATGAACAAAATTTAATAGCACAAATTTGATGATTGCTGCAAAGAGACTGAAAAAAAACCGCAACCCAAACAATTTACAAACTCAACCTCCCTTGGATATAAAGGATGGAATAGAGAAACCTAGGTAAAACTGAATGCTTTGGATCAATAACCATTGTAGAATGGGCTTGATCTGATGCATAATTTGAACAATTGCATTTATATTCAAGCAGGCCAAACGAAAGCTGTGGTTACTAATTTTAATATATTGAAAGCAAAATCTGTTATGTATCAACATTTTAATAATTTACTAGCAAGCATAAGGCAGCAGTTGTCTGAAAACTGAAATAAAGTAGTGCTTTAAAACTACAAAGTATTAGATAATACTTGTATTAAAGTGTGAAAACAAAGGAGAAGAAAGTAAACAATAAAGAATATTCCGAAACCTACCAGAAAATTTTGTCTTGGAAATTCATTTCCCACTGAATTATATTTATAAATGAATATATATTACTTCCATAAATGCATACACAACAACCAATGTTGTCCAATGCAAATCTATCAAGTTTGGTAAAAAAGGAAGAGTTGTAATATTCAAGTAAACCTTAGTCACTTTCTACACTATGACCATAAAATGCGTTACACACACCACACCCCGGCTTGTTTTAAAGCACAACACGCTAACCTACAATCAAATTATCAATCTTTCTTTGTTTGATCAGTTCAGACTATAAATTATTTATACTATCAAATTAGAACATTGTCAATATGGGTTAAAATAATCTTATCTGACAGACGCAGTATATAAACATGACTGTTACATTTAGCAACAACAAACCCTGTTTTCACAAATCGAAATTATATCAATACAGTCTGAACTGCATCATGTGCTAACTAACAACTTTCTAACACAAACAAATTGCCGAAAAACTTAAGCTACTGCCACAAAAATTGTCAAGAAGACTGCCAATATAATACTGTACAAACACTACCTTGACTTGACATTGCAAGGTGTGTGTGCAACAGTTACATAAAACATAAAGTCCATTAAGTTATTAATTTATTATAATCTATTTAGTATTAAATCTACCATATTATTTTTTAAAGAATACAACTAAAATTGCTTACTTTATAACCAAAGACCTTATCCTATATTGCTAACTTCACTATTAAACTTTATACGGATCCAAAATTGCTAATATACTATTAAACTTTATAACCAAAATTACTAACTTTACTTTACTATATAACCAAACCTGCTAACTTTACGTTTGCTACATCTAGGGAGCATAAATAAATCATTTTCCCTCAAATGTTCAATTACCTGAAACTGTATTCAGACTTTATAACCAAAATTACAAACTTTACTTTACTATATAACCAAACCTGCTAACTTTACGTTTGCTACATCTAGGGAGCATAAATAAATCATTTTCCCTCAAATGTTCAATTACCTGAAACTGTATTCAGACTGACAACATCTATACTGTACACATGAATGTGCACAATTTACATATTTACCTCAAAGAAAAGGTGTACAACTTCGTTACCCTCTCTGCCATAGAGCAGAGCATTCTATATTTCCATCGTTCAATGGTAGAATTTAAGCAAACAAAAACATATTTGCAGAAGTCAAGAGAGAGAACGTACAAAGTCTAGGTTTTCATTCTTAACCATATTTGGTTGCTCTTTGCAACTTTCAGTTGGATGTCATATTTATTTTCAAATCCTCTTTCAGCATTCTTAAACCTTTCAGTAAAATATTACATAGATGTTTGAAAGAATTCAGTCTATATCAAGACACTGGGAAAATATCGCAAAATATGTATATGCAGACTCATATGCTTCACAATTACATCACATTCATTTTAAATTCAGCAAGGTAAAATGCAATACAATAACACAATACAGTAAATAAGAAAACAAACTAAAAAAACTTGACTCATATGCTTCACAATTACATCACATTCATTTTAAATTCAGCAAGGTAAAATACAAAACAATAACACAATACAGTAAATAAGAAAACAAACTAAAAAAACTTTTCGATTTCTCAGTAGAATTGCTCATTAATCCTAAATCAAGTCCATAAAACATTTTATCTTACTTTACTATTTATTTCATGTTATTTAATCAATAATACCAAACAATCAAGGTGCAAACGATACAATTTGGCTGACAGTATGATATGAGTTGAATATATTATGGATTTTCCCCCATATTTTCCTATTTAAATATTTTACATATAAAGACAACATATGGTGACCTAGCTTAGCAGTAAATCAACTGTTAGTGGCAGACAAAAATTACTAGACCTCTTTGATTTGGGTCAAAAAGAAAATTGTTGATTTTATTGGTTTTAATGGGTTGATTTATATTTTGTGATTGCAATTTGTCTCCTTTGAAAAATTTACGTTTATAGACAAAGTAAATGTTGCGATATAACCAATTTTGCGTTCCATTGTTGTCAAAATTAGCCAAAACGAAACTAAAATCAGTCAAAAACGGACTTAAACTTCATCTTTTGAAAAATCTGATCAATCAATTCAATAATTCATTTTGACTTAATTCCATGAAGTTTAATTCCTTTAATTGTGATTAATAAAAGTAATTAAACAAATTCCAAGATTAGAATCACAATGTGGTCCAAGAAGATTACTTATGATTTTCAAAGCCGGTTTTACACTTTACGAGGAGCAACTGTTGGACTGCAAAGAGTGATTAGTTATGATTATTTATCCTCTTATTCCTGTACATTATTGTTGAAAATTATAAATAAAATAGGTTTATCTATACTATCATGTGATTTAAAGTTATATACATTGACATAAAGACATTGTTAATTTCCGGATTATGGTCGCTCATAGCTTTTGATTTTTACAATATCTATATTCAAATTGTGATGTATTCCAGTTGTTTGAGTACTATAAGTAATTCAAATTTGTCAGCAGCACACAGAGTCACGTGTTAAGCTTTTGATATTTAATAAGCGTGTCCATCTGTTTACTTCCAAATCAAGAGACAACAACTTGTTCAACTCATATTGAGTTTCCATGTAAAATAATACAAAATACAGATGCATTACAATGAATGACGTCAAAGGTCATTATGATATATTTTCTGCCCACAAAGATCTATGTGAAAGAATATGAACTGGGTGGACATAATCAATATTGATGAAACGTGTAATAAAATATTATTTTAAGTGTGCAAGAGTAAAAAATTGATATTGAGATAAAAAAATAAAAAATACTAATGTGCATGCTTATAACAATAGGATTTGATTATTGATATTTATGAAAACATTTAGACTAATAGAATGAAAAAAATATTCTTTTATTTCGATCATTCTCGCATTAACTAGTTATAACTCTCTAGATACATGCAAACTGATCTATTCTTAAAATCTAATTCTAAGCAACAAGTGTGGGAAAGACAAGGTGTGTTGCTTAGAGTGCTTTGTTTTTAAAAATATACAACTATATCAGTATTTCTAAGCTGTTTCAAGCTACCAACACTTTTAAACACAATACTAAAAGGCAGTTTGTAAATCCATTGTGTGCACTGATGGTGAGATAAACACCATTTAGAAGAAAGCCCACTTATCTATAAAGTAAAGAATGATAAACAAAAGCTCTATAAAACTACTGAAAGAAAAGTAATTAAAATTAGCATTATAAAAGTTCACACCAGATTTCTGCAGCTGTCATTTACCTTATTCTGTTTTCTTGCAGTCGAATGAACAGAATGTGAACGTTGCCTTCTCTCTGAATTCTAAATAAACATAATAAAACAGGAATAATACAAAAAATACATTCCAACTACAGCAGGCACAGATATACAGGTATCTATCTACATGTAGCTCTAGTCATAATAAAGTAACAGACACTTTATACTAAAATAAAATCAATCAAAATGCACACAATGCCAGGTGAGTCACTTGCTTATTTCCAATAAAACCTGTACTATAGATATCAGATTCTGCCAAATTCACATTATTTCCATTAATATTTCTATTTAATATTGAATTATAAACATAAATATTCATTATCTTAATGTAGCTAGTCGGTGACCTATATTTGGGCTATAATAATATTAAACATTACACCTAGCACATAATCAATTAATGCTTATTTCAATTTAAATACTGTATTGTATACTTTCTACATTAGGGCTAGTATTAGTAGCTTGATTTAAAACCTACCATATTAACATATTGACAATTCCAAGTACATTTCTAAGATAAAATTACCTCAACTTACATTCACAACAGAATATGGCTAGACAATTCTGATATAAGATAAGAACAAAGAACCTACCCAGGTGTGGCAGTAGAAATGAATGGGTTGTAGTTTCCTACCCTATCTTAATCCAAGTCAACACAGAAATAAAGACATTAGTTTGGATGTATTTGAAGCCCAGTCACCCAAATAAAAGCTGTCACTGATTACAGGTATTTGTTCACGTGAAATAATGGCGAAAACTATGTGCAAAGAAGGCTGCCTGGATCAATATATTGTAATTATTGATTCACGCCTCTCGACAGTCATGTAGTAAACACAAAACTAAGTGGTATGTCTTTTCCTTTAATGTTTTAGACAACAATTTTTTCAACAAATAGCAGACATTGAAGACAAAGGCATGGTTTAATGGTTTGGAAACAGTTGACTAATTGTTGGGATATAATTCTTACAGCCTTAGAGTTCCATGTTGAAGAACTGTTGAGTTATTTACATAACCTCTTACAGCATTTGTTACACAACAAAGCTACTTCTCACAAACAGATATCGTTATTTACCTTTAAGTTATAGAGACATACTCAAATCTTATTGCCTATCAGAAATGACAGTTAAAAATTAGTCAGGGCTGAACTGAAGATGAGTATTCATGGACAGAACGACTGATTGAACAGTTTGTAAAGTGGAGAATTTTTTTACCTGGATGTATTTTTTTATTCATTTATGCATTTATCTACCATAAACAAAGATGTACTTTTAATTTATCTACTTTAATATACATATACTTTTAATATTATATACTGAGAGCAGCTTTATTTAGTTTTTATTTATATATATATACACACACATGTACACAGAGACAGCCCTTAATTACACTTAACTGCGAAAAAACATTCAAGCAAATGAAATAGCTCTCCCTTGCTGAGTTTCACATAAACCATGTGAGGTAAACAATTAGCTGTGTGGGGTGAACTGGTCCACAACATACTGTTCAGTAAGAGTGAATGTATGCACTGGATTTGTGTATTAAACGTTTTTAAAAAAATCATAATTCCATATTTATAATATCCAAATAAACAGTCTCTTTGGTCGGGTTCTCATCCAAAAGACGATGCAAGAACAAAATAAAGCTTTAAGCTTATGCCAAATCTGTATGCTTACTAAAGAGACCAGTGTGCAGGTTGGACCAACTAGTTCACTTTTGGTTTTAATAAAAATTAATTTCTCACTTACAAAAACTTTTTTGCTTGTGTTACAGAGGGGATCGTTTATCAATACATATTTAAGATTCATGGAAACCTTGAAGAAAATCGTTGATCTTCCCCTTTAAATGCTCATTTCCAAATATATGACTACTGGTATTAATATAATAATAAACTGGCCTATCAGGTGAAAAATAATGTACTATGTGATGCAAAATACCCAATTTCATACATTATATGGGGACTCAAGAGCTCAAGATTATGCAATTTTATTTTGCCTGGTTGAAATTACAATTAGGCAAAATCAATGAACCTTGAAGATGTGATTATACACTCACTAATCCTGGAAAGTAGGATAAAGTCCTTAACATCACTTAAATTTAATGTCATGAGCAAACCTCTGATGGGTCCTCATATGGACAACTGACTGTCAGCAGGCAGCTAGTTATACAGAATTCTGGCTGAAGTTTGCTTGTAATTTGAGCTCTTTTTTGGTAGTATTTATTTAAATGATGCAAAAAAATCACCACAGTGACCAAAATTATCAAACAAACTTAACTTTGGGAGTGGAAATCTATACAAATTTACAATTACAACAAACCTATTTTGTATAGATGCAAATGAATCAGAAGTTCTCAAATAATCTAACAACCAAGTGAATAGTATATCAGAGAAAATTGTGTCTAAAATAACTTTCAAGTGACTGGTCTATGAAATTGATCAGATGAATATTTGACATCACAATACCAGTCAAATAAGTTTTGGATAATTATAGATTCAAATTGTAACTTTAAACTTCCTCTTTTCAGTATTTTATACAAATTATAAATGGAAAATTGAACCCATTATTCTTAAAGATTACACCTAAATATCCATATTTAGAATTTGAATGGTAAAATTAATTCTAATTTTTTTTCTATTATTCAATAACTACATTGTTGGAATTTAGAAAGGTCATTAGACATACCGATTTTCATTGATACAGATATCTGTTATTTCAAATATTTGATGTAAAATGCTGTCTATTTTAAACAGAAAATTAAATAAATCTACATCATTAATTACATTCTTCATTTATTAGTTTCTAAAAATATGAGCAAAAAGACATCATGGAATGATAAGATATTCCCATAATTCATTTTGACTTTTACATGCATACAGACACACACATATTATGAATAACTAAATAATTCTATATGCAGATATATTCATAAGTTCACCTACCGTTTTGACTTCTTGGAAAGCCAATGATGAGAAACCAGGTTCATAATCCATGATACTTCTGGGTTGATTTCTGTACACTTCAATTTTAGATCGTACTTGTGGTGGTGGATAGTTATATCTACAAACAAACAAACAAACAAATAAATAAGAGTTTAATTTGCATTTTAGAGAAGTTCAGATATAATATTTGCTCAGGGCTTTTTGGGTATCTTATCACCCATTCAACATACCCATTGCCATGGTTAGCTATCAATTGCTTACTGTATGCTGTAGAAGTATTGTATGCTTACTGAATCAATTTTGAGAGCAATATTCTTATTTTTGTGTGGAGGTTCTTCTGCAGCTTACCATATTACATATTTTTAAAATGAATTTGATGATATATCTATAAATATGAATTAATTTAAGAACTTTTCTATAGTTACTTACATAGATTGTTGAAACGACGAGTTAAACATATTGTTGAAAAACACCTATGTCAATTTATATCAAATTAATTTAATAAAAAAAAGATATCTTCTGGATATTACTAAACTAGAATATTTCAATGTCTGCATTCAAACACGACATAAGTTTGTGAACAGCCTATAAACATTGCAGTATCATGCTAGAAAAAAAGTTTGACATTTGTTGTCATTGTCATAACTCAGTGAAATATTTAAAGCTTTTTTGGCTTTATGGTCGACAATGTTTCTATTCATTCAAGTGAATACAATTGAATTTTGTGCATATATTATGGTGATATCAGACTACCAATAGAAATGATTGTAACAAGATTAACAATCTTCAAGAGGAAAAGAAAAGGAGGTTCTATATAGGGACAAATGGAAAAAGAATGCCAAGATGCATATATTATTATGAATTACTGGTAAACCTAGTTTCAAATGAACAATAACATGCAATTTTCATCAAGCATTCAAATGGATCATGTATATATATTTATGAACATACAATATAATTCTTCCATGCACATTAAGAGAAATACTAATATATGTGTATATATGAAGACTGATGAAGAGCATTACAGTTAATTAAATAATACCTGTATAAAGATGGTAATGACCTTATGCAATAATAATGAAAAGGATAAAAATAATTAACTACGGAAGTTAATTAGGTCTTCTGCTCTGCCACTGGAGAAATCTTAATAAAATCTTGATTGAAATGACTAATGTCACGAAATTATATAGATTTAGAAACACAGTTATAAGTACTTGTTGGTTAATGCAACATATGCTCACCATAAAATATACATGTTAAAATGTATCAAATAACATCAGTATATTAGATAGTCCTGTATCCCATAACACTTGACTAAATTTATATCAGTTTAATTCATTATGCATGAAATTAGTAAAAAGAATAAGCTCTCATTATCAACCAAATGATTCTAAGGTGTCTCCTATCCCTTCTCTTAGAATAGATATTCCATATTCAAGTGTATATCATTCATTTTTATAACTGTAATGATTCATTTTCTTAATTGTCCCCCGCCTTTCGAAGAAAGCAGGGGACTATTAAAATGGGTTCGTCCGTCGTCTGTTTGTCTGTCTGTCCGTCACACTCCTTCGAATTGAGTTAAAATGTTCAAAATTATTATAACCAGGTATTGATAAAAGCATCAATTGAGCAATTCCAATACAATCCAATACAATGAATATAGGCAAGGTAAATAAACAAATAAATGGAAAAAACAAATTGAAAAAGAAACTATTATAAATTAATTAAATATGTAGTATGCAATAATGAATTGACATTTAATGACAGAAAGAAAACAGTGAACTTTGCACAACTTGCAGCAAGATGGAAAATAGACCCGTTGATACAACCAAACTCTAGATCTGTAGGCATAGAGCATGTTTTCCCCTTAATATGCTATAATAATTCCATCAAAAACATTGTATGCTTAGACTATAAGTAAAGATATACTGTTTGATTGTTCAATACTTTGTAAAAGATAATTTGTGATAAATTTATATGTGTCCTCTAATTATTTTCCTATTTCGGCGGGGGACATCAGCCTCACTGTTGGCTTGTTTTATATAGTGTAGATTGGAAGGCATCAGAAGTCAATATTCTGATCAATATTAGAATGATCTAAATTTACATCCATACCATGTTTATCACTTAATATGGATGGATCACTATGGGGGATAACTATCCCATATTGGGTGCTAGTCTAGTTCTATGATCAATCAATAGTGGATGTTGTTTGATATAGGATATACAGAAATGACACAGCTAGGAAATTTCCATCACATATATATTACTTCAGGTCTCAGAGATTATTTATAATATTCATGCTTGACTTGATAAATGACAGAATAATCTAAATGATAAATCTGTACATTCTAATAATATCTCTAATGCACTCCACAAACTTATAATTAGTAAACACATAAATATATATATCAATTTCAAATTCATTTCTGGTTCTCGCAAAAGTCAAATAAATTATTAATATCAAAGTCTTGTCACACCAGTTAAGTGTTAAATTCATACTCTTTGGAGCAAACAATACTTTTTGTTTCCAATATATTTCGCATTAACATAACAGAATAATCGGTGGGTTAGTTAACAAAATATTCATTCCAAACATCAAACTAATTGAATTATAACTTACAATCGTCGACTCTCGTCTGATATACTTTTACTTCGGTTCTTGGGTTTACCATAGGATCTTCCTTCTGGTTCCGATCTGTAGCCAGATTCATCTAGATGGTAACATAAAAACACATTATATTGATTTCTTTCCTCCCAATAACCTCATCCATACCTCAAGATTTAAAAAATGTATTACACTCAATTGCTTTACATAATTTCTGTCTGCTGTTAGACTGACATAACATGGTTGCTATAATAATATCATTGACACTTTATTTATTTCCCATGATTTATATTTGTTATTATCTCTACTACAACCATCTGTTCACCCATTGATTCAATTAATATGTTCCCTTTTAATTTCTATCCAAATGTTGCTGTAACAATGTATAGTGTCTGTTGTTTTCTGTATTGAATAACAAATTTGTATTTTCATAATAATATGATTAAATGTAGCCATTAATTTAGTTTTCCACTTACCTGCGAATCTTGATGGTAACTCATAACTTGGTCTGTATGGATTGACTTCTGAAATATGATATAATTACAGTATTAATTAAAAATAATAAATATAGGCAAACATTGTCTAAATCATAAGTATTATATTTATGTAAAAGACTGTTAGTAAAAACCAAAAAAAAGTAAACTTCCAGTGAAAAAAAGTAAACTTGAATTGCAACTACATTTTACTTATTGTTAAAATATTCTAAGAAAATAATGTATTATAACTGGTTAATCAAAATTAAAAACTTCAATTTGAATTAAAGTTTGATTCTTGGTTATCAAGTATTGTTAACAAACTGTTCATCATGTTAGTCTAAATTATTGATGTCTTTGAGACCTTATTCAGTTTGAAGTTTTGTTTCCATTCATGTCTAGATTTTAGTTGGATGTCTTAAAGAATTGATCTCATATACCACTACATGACTTAATATAACTTAATACATGACATTATTTCTGTTAACTTTTTCTCAAGTTTCTAAAAAGTTTGTTGGTATCACTGAGAAAGTAGCTATGTACAGAAATATTTGTTAATTGTTTGCATTCTTGTGCAGATTTGGAATTCAGTGCAAGGTCAGCAATCTTTATCCCTAGAATTACTGATACTACCAAAGATATAAATAGCTAATTGGTAATAATAACAATGATACAAATATATAATTCTAACTGATTGAAAATTATTATGGAATTAGTATAGCATGACTACCGTAATCTATTAATTTAATCTGTATCCCAGATAGTATAGGCTAACTAAGGCACTAGAAAGAGTTACTCCCCTTTAAATATGAAATATATAAACCATAGATTATAAAGCTTTCCAACTACCATAGATTCTTTAGTATGAATATTCTTCACTTATATTTAATTAAATGATCTGAGCCTCATAAATACAAAGTATTAGAAGAAATGGTTAGATGTGAATTATTCAAAATTTGTGTAAAAAATGTACTATTTGATGAAATGAAATGAATATACCAGTAGCCAAGGAAGTTGTGCATGACAGTATGAACAAGTTTAATTATGTGGCAAAAGCGTTTTTTGTTTTTTTAATTATAAAAAAAAGAATGAAGCATTATTTTAATGCGAGGATACAAACTTACTACCATTAACTTCAGTGTCTGATTTCTCCTTTGTTTTAGCTAATGAAATGAAATTGTATATTTTAACATGAGGGTGTAAAACAACACAACAAAAACACACCTTTATTTCCACACACGAAATATAATTCAAAGCTACTGAATACAACCAAACAGTTACATGATCTTTTAATAAAAGACAAATGTTAAATACTTTGAAACATTTTTGTTTTTCTACTAGTAAGTGCTGGAAAACTGCACAGCACATAAAACAAAAACCTTATCTCTGCCATATAGATCATACACAGTGATGGTGTATCATATTAACTTGGAAGTTTTGAGTTGCCCTCTTCGGCAATACCATATACTTGAAAACACCATTTTATACTGAATACCGGAAAACCCCGGAAAAACACTAAATACCGGAAAATACCCTAAATAGGTAACCTGGAGACTGGCACCCTAAATAGGTAACCGGGAGCCTGGTCCTCTGTGTGCCTGGGTTAGGGTAAGGGTTAGTTTACGGTTTATAGCATTAGCCCTTCTCCGGGTTACCTATTTAGGGTGGTTTCCGGTATTTAGTGTGTTTTCCGGTATTCAGTATAACATGGTGTTTTCTGGTAGTTTTCCGGTTGTTTTCCGGTGTTTTCTGGTATATAGTATAGCCCGCCCTCTTCATCTAGAATATGATAGTCTTCAACTTTTAACTTTGAAAGAACACTTACATTTCCACCAGATGAATGTACATGTATGGATGTTGGTGTATCACATCTATATAGAACACATCTATTACATAAAACAGATACAAATAAACAATGGTGATGTGGAGAAATACAATCATTACAATATTAACATAGGAAGTAACTAAAAACCCACCTTCTACTGATTTGGTATCAGAGTGGTCTTCTGGAAATTGGTAGGTAGGCCTATATGTGTTTTCTTCTACAAAAGAAAGAAAAATAAAAAACATTATTTCTGGTATTTCTGTATCAATAACATATTATGTCTTTGTTTGAATCACAAATAACTCAGGAAAATGGCTAGAAAAGTAAGCAATATTGTAATAACACTAAAAAAAAATTAATTTACACTTTTAAGAAAACCTGAGAAAGGCTATAAAGCATTTTCTAAACAATTCAACAAAATTCTGTACTCTTGCATTTACTTAAACCATCTACAGAGAGATATTTTATTTATTTAAAGATATATTTCTTCAGCAGTCACAATCCTAAATACATATAACCTTTGACTAAAAAAGACACCCAAACTACCCAGCAAAAATCTACTTGTTACCAAAAACAATATAGCAAAATTCTTCGAGGGAAGATTTGGGGTGAGAAACTACCAATTTTCATATAGTCGGATCAATGAGTGCTGCCATTATAGAAGATTTGGTGAATACTGTTGGAAGTAAGATAGAAACCGTAGACTATGTAATAACTTACTTATTTAATTTTTGGAGGAATTATTAGATTTGAATCTATAGTTCATCAAGCTTTCAGATAAAAATATTTGGAGGGGTGATCAGATGAGGGTGTGTGTGTGTAGTAGTAGTATCTTGGTGCTTTAACGTCCTCTTCCATTTATTTAAAGTGATATCGCAGACAGGGGAACATATGTTTATATTATTTGGATTTAGTTATCACAGTAATAAAATGGAATACAGAGCAGCTTATTTAGTTCCACAGACCCTATAGGCAAAACAACTTACATGTTATGTCAGTACACATCTCTTTTGATTAGTATGTGTACAATAAACAAAGAATATGAACTTGTGAAATGTGTAAAAATTATAATCTGGTAATGATACAAATTTGAATACACAACTGGTATTTATACACATTGGAATATACAACCTACATGTATATTCAGACACATCTGATTCTGAATACACAACTAGTATGAATACACAGCTGTTGTTATTGTTAAGTAACTTACAGTACATGTTAGAAACAACATTATTAACAATACAGTTTTAAAACCTACTGTCAATGCCTAAATGTATCCTATTTTAGCAGTGCTGTAATAATGAAGAAGCCTATTATCACATGGACATTCATGTACAAGTTAGCAGAAATATTTAATTTAAGCAGTGTTGTATGTTACATACAGATATGCATAAAGTTATTAGATAATAAATATTTATTTTTTTGTAGAATAACTGATCACTACCGAATATCTTTCTATAACCACACATGAAGGGGACAAGTTTATTCACAATTGGTTACTCACATCATGCTATCAAAGCTTACTAGCATGCCTCCTTTTGTAACTAAAAAGCTATGAAACTGATATCATTTTTTTTAAATTTTCGAGTTATGTTCAGTAAAGTATTGACAGGAGGAATAATTACTTGTGTAATAAAAACAGAAATATTTGAAAGAAGATATATCAGTATTCAAGAACAGCAACTAGCTCATTCAAAGAGTTCCTACATGTATCAAGGCTATTTCAAACTTTGTAGAATAAATCTTTATTGCTTTCATATTGATCGATATAATTTCTAATCATGCTGAGATTCTTCTGATCTTAAAGAAAAAGCTATTAAGTATATATTGTAGGTGCAATGTAAATAGAACAGAAAAATAATTATACCACCAAAAGCCACTTGTAAAATAAATGATTGAAAAATACAGTGTCACAAAGCAGATGTCAAACCAAACGACAGTTGCCCGTGCTGGTCAGTGCTTACCTATATTTTTCACTGTGGTGGTGCAAAATAAAAAATAAATGAATAAAAAATACATATATTTGATATAAAACAAACATAAATACTTATGCTGGGACATAGCCTATAAAATGAACTAGCACAACCAGGTAACTATAATACTCATATCAGGGGAGGAAATAACAATTAATTAATATATTTACATCTAAACATTAATATATAAAAGTGAACAGCTTAGACAACAACATTTATACATAACATACAAATATATGAAAAGTACAAACAGCATTAAAAACCCCTAATCAAGAGAGATTTTCGAACCTCCTCTAGTAATACTAATTAGATATAGAAAGATACCAAATCACGAAGGCACAATTTATATTCCAACCCATAATCTACCATGGTTTATTATCATAATGCATGTTAATCTTGGGTACCCAGTGTTCAGTCACTGAGTAGATCAACAAAGGATTGAATACACTCTATTTTTAATCAGTTTGCTCTAACTTTATGACATGGTGTGTTTTGAGAATGGTGGTACATTTTTTTACCAATGTTTATCAAACTATATTAATCAAGCCTAATTATTCATTTTGTATAATCAAGGTCTGTCTGTAACATATGTCAAACTATGATTCTTTACATAGCTTTAATATTAATAGGGTGTGTGTCTAAGTACAGGTACTCTACTTTTGATTTGCTTTGTCTTTGCACATCCATAAAACCAGACCTTTTATGTCACATACCATAAGATTTTGTCAGTGATCAACCCGGAACCTGTAGTAATCATGTTACAAAGCATTATTATGCCTAGACAGTAGCTAGTTTATATGACTACCATTCTACTTGTAAATGCTAACAATATGATACAAAACAGTACGAGAAACAAAGCAAGCACTACATGAACATATACAGACAAATAAAATAAACTTGATAAATTTGAAATAAATTTATTAAAATTAATGTAGGAATATAGAATAGATTAGAGAAAAAAAGAAGTGTTAATATTTATAAAATGTTAGAACTGTTACAGAAATAAGACTTTTTGAAGAGAGAATAGAAAGAAAATTAAATAATTACAATATTAGTACAGAAAAATAAATAAATAGGTTGACTATTTTTCTTTTTCAAGAAAACTTTCAGTAGCTGTTACTTCATGACTTCTAATGAAATAATCATCATGCACAGGACAATCCTGTTGCTTACAGGTATAAATTCACAATGCTAGGTCATGATTGTAAAATTTAATGAGGTCATTTTTTAACAATACATGCGAACACATACATGTACATTAAAAATTATTGTAATAAGCACCTGCATCCTCGAAAATGGAGTCTATGATGTCATTAATACCCAATAATTCTGGAAAAAATGAGATTAAGTATAGAGTTCCATAACCAGTATTAATTATATTATATAATTATGTAAGTTTATAATGGAACGTAATTCATTTTAGAAATGATACACAACCAGGATTGCACTTAATACCCGACATTTTATATGACCTTACATTTATAGTTATGTTTTTCATTTTTCTGTTTCTCAACCTGTGGTCTACAGTATCACTAAAATAATTATCATGATTTCATTTTTGGGATTTCCTAAACAAATCATATAAATCAGATGTATTCTGGTGTGCTTGTTATTTTATTCTGATTGTACAAAGGTTTAATTTAACAACCAAAACTGTATTAATATAGTGTGACCCTTATCATTCATTCAAATGATCCATGCTAACATCCACCTTATAGTTGCATAAAAAGGGATGAAGTATCTAAAAGTATGTGTATCTAAGGATAAAATATAAGGTTTTTAATGTTACATTTGTCTGGTTTACCTTAAATGCAATCCTGTTATTAGGACCCATCCAATAAATAAATCAAAGAGCTCTTGTTTATATTTAAAAGTATGAAGGGAAAAAACAAAATGGAATCTATAAGAGTAATGAAGCGTTAAAATGTAAAAGAATTGTAAGGAAAGAAGAAAAAAATTGAAGAATTTGACTTTCATAAATCTATGAACATCGCATAGTGTTTCAATTGACAAGTATTCTTTCTACACATAATTCACAAAAAAACATTATGGTGTGGGGAATTTTTGTGGAGATAATTAACACTGATGTACACTGACAATTGGTGAAATTGCAAACTTTTTTAACATTGGTACGCTCACATTCTAATACAGTTAAAGATAAATCTAGTACTGTTAGTGATTGCTGAAAATTAAAATCGTGATATTATTGTTTTCTTTTCTTACTTTGACCCTATAAATTTTTTATGGTGTAGCCCAGCCTTCAATTGTCAGGTTTGGTGCCTTTAGGATTGTCAAGAAAAGTGTTCCTTGTACCAGGGCTAGAAATTCGTCATTTTTTGCGATAATATAAGAGGATTCTCATATATGCAATCTGCGCAAATCTTTCGAATCTTAAATACTGACTAAAAAACAAAATTGTGTTTATTGTTTATCGCCAGTATCAGAAAATGCCGTAGCCAAAATAAGCTGATACAGCACGGTGGCATTTCTTCATAACACAATTTGTAGTCCTTTGTCCGTCACATAACTTGCAAAAGTTTTTATTCATTCCTCAATGATAGATAAACGGCAAAATGATCACGTGACAACCATAACTGAAATTGCTATAAAATAAAATTCTGTACGACTATGATATAGCCCTCAATAATATTTTTAAAATTCAGTCTCAGTCAGTAGTGTATAAAATAAAAAATCATAACGGTAAACGCTATTTAGAACTGGTTTATTGACATAATTCCAACCGATATGTCCCGTGTCATTGGAATTCGGCAATCGAGATTCTGTCGGGGGAAATATCCACTGTTCCTCTCTCCGTGAATTCGATGTTCTATCAGGGGATTATATTCAAGGAAGATTTAAATTTACCTAACAACTGGTCAGTTAATCCATCAATGTATTATCCAGTTATTATTTTAATATCTGGACTGAGTGTAGAAGATGCACAATTCGGAAAAATTTTACGCGAATCCTTGTCGATTCGCAGCGTAAGCTCTTGTGAGAATCCTTGCGCGAATTAGATTCGGAGATTTGTGTGAATTTCTAGCCCTGATGATGAAAAACCAAGATCAAACCGAGTACCCAATAGCGAGCACATAACAGACAGTTGGAATTTGAAGTTGGGAAGCCAGAAATTTTGCTGTATGTTGCCAAATTATCCACCTCACATTGCACATGTAATCATAGAAATAAAAATTACCATGTTTGTCTCAAAATATTGAAGTATTGTGTAGCCGAGACATTAAACCCCGTTTAATATTTCTTTCCTTTTTACCATATTGTAAAATAATTTAGTTCACTGTACATGAATTCATTACTAAAACACTATCCCATAATAATACAATTCACCGGGTCAGAATAAGAAAAGAATGTGTGCTTGCTTTAACACTCAAAAATATCAATAGCTATGATGCAGCCTTTACTACTTTAACAAGAAATCTACTTAAATGTTTACTTACCATCCTTTTTCTCTGTTTTATGTAAATTTTTGTACATTTGTCGATACCATGCATGTTGATTTTTTTCATCAATATTCTGAAAAGATCATACACAATAACATGAAATGGAAGTGCAATATATGTGGAAAACCCATCTATTGGTTTCTTGATAAATCTATGCATGACAGCCCAAGCCATATCATTGTTTGATAAATAAAAATTTAGCCATTTTTCAGACATAAGAGAGGCTTAACCATGAAAAGAACATAAGTGGTTGCAATTGAATAAATCCAGGCTTACATATACACTACAGTACTAAAAATATCTTCATTATGCAATAAGTGGCAGTTTTTTTTAAATAATTAATTGTCTCAACAGTAAAATATGGGAATCGCCACCCTAAAAATAAAAAAAAAATGTAATTATTAACCACATGACATGTAAATTTCAGACATGAGTGTGGATTTTCTTTTTCAAATGAAAATTAAACATGTATAATCTTACTTTTCTAAATGCCAGAGGCACTCCTTCATGATCAACAGGGCCAATACCTTCAAATATTTTTGGTTTTTGCTCAATGACTTTGGATGAGGATTCTTCTTCTATATGTTTGGTAGTATAATACTCGTCTGTATGTTGTACATCCCCATCGTGACTTTCAACTTTGCCAATATATTTGGCACCTTTTGGGAACTGGCCCTCTATAAATGTAAAAAACATATGCAATGTAATAGAAAATATATATCCTCTTGTTAACCATAGATGATATAAAAATATTGCTTATTTACTATAAAACAAAATAAATCATAATAAGATATATGGTGTAACTACATGTGCTGGTAGAAAATAAGGAAAGGATCACTAAAATAAACAGACTGACAACAGAATATTTGGTATTGAGTATAAATCTGTTGATTCAAAAGTCACAATTATTTAGATCTGAAGACTATAAATGTTCGCCTGTTCCTTCTTATTTGCAAATTGGATGTAATTATAGTGCACACTTAGAACTAAACATCTAAAAGGATTTAGGTATCCTATTGCAAAATTCAGTAGTTCACATGTGCATAATATGCTTTTCTTTGTCTATGACAGATGTTTATGATATTATACTATGTATGCTGTATTAATTACATTCTAATTCATTAATTGTGAGCTGTTCTAATAGTACCGGTAAGTAAAATTAACACAGTACAACATTTATACCCCCCCCCCCTTCAATTCTAGTTCATTAGTAAGATTAAAAAAATCATATATTCAGTTGTCTTTCTTACAAAAAAAGGTATTGTATTCAAATAGATATTCTACTTTATTAATTGTATTAGTGTATACATGTGGATTTCCAACCTGGTTTTAATCAGCATAGTTCGTACAAAACATATATTCATGTTCATTTTAGATGATGTGTAAATGTCCACATATATATATAAATTCCCATGTGTTAAAAATAAAAATAAAGACATGAAAAATTGATGAGATTATCTAGTAAAATCCACACACAAGCATTTTAGAAATTTTAGAGAAGGTATTAAAAAACAAGCAGTGAGAGACAAGCCTAATATACTCCAAATCATGACCTGGAATTCATCTACAATGATCACATTGATCTCAATTATCTAATATTTATCTCCACTAAATGGAATAATTTGTTGCACTTGCAATCAGGCCATGGATTTGGAACACTGAAAACCATTAACAATCATAAACCAGAAATATCTCTTAATGGGCAATTATAAATAATGAAGCAGAAACCAGTTCTTCAAATATTTCGAGAAACAAGCAATCTAAATGAGAAGAAACCGTAAACCCAGAAAACACTTAAAGCTCATCTACTTAAAATTAGCTTAAACAGTTTTAAAAGCTATGTAAGAGGAAGCCATTTTTCCAGAATAAAAGCATGATTTGGAGCGATGGATTAATCAACATTGATTCATTTGAGGCTCGTCTTACCCTTGGTAACCATAATTGGTTGACCCAAGTTTTTGATGTCGTCAGTCTTCTCACTCTCTGAAACACAACATGCAAAGCTAAACATAAAGGAACACAGACTATTTGATTTGTCAGTGAAAAAAACAGATTTTCAAAAATTAATGCAGATATCAGTCATTTTAGTGTTTGACTTTGAAACACTTCAAAATAAATAAATAGTAATATGTAAGTCAAACACAGGAGGCAAAGGTTTGTATCAAACATAACTGATTGATTATAATCAAATGTTTTATAGTTCTTTCAAAGATTTCATTCCAAAAAACATACACAAAAAAAATCATTAAAGAATTCAAAACAAGAAAATCTTATATAACATATTCCTTCAAGATATGATTTTTAGGTACCATGGGCTGTTTTGTAGCAAATGTAACAAAATTTTTATATTTACCTCGACTTTTCTTCAATAAAGTTATATAGGGACTTTGTGTTTGTGGTAAATGGAGATCATCTTTAGAATCATTTAATAAATTATTATCTACACTTCCGTTCATGTGGGGAGCATTCTGTATAGCTTCTGGTAGTAAAGATTCCAGCTTGGAGCCAGCCAGTTGATACTGAACAACACTAGTGGGTACTTTGTTTATGGTAGGATCTTTGGCACTGGGACTGTCTTGTGGTTTCCATTCAAATATTTCTGGTTTTACTGATGGTGAAATCTGGAAATATTAATATACAAAACTGTTGTAATACTCTATATAATCAGTAATATACAAAATAACATAGATTCCCATTGTCTGAAATAATAATAAACACAGCCTCCCTTCGACTTCTTTTACATCATACTAAATTTCATGAGAATCAGTTCATCAATAATTGAGTCATAGGCATCTCTTTAAAAAAAATATAGATTTTTTTCAGTGTGACTTTAAAATGAATGACCTCCAATTTGAAGTGTCAACTATCTGATTAGTCAATATTGTGGATGAATAAGTCATTTAAGGAATTGCTTTCTACAGAACTGTAAATTATTTATTTTAAAGTATTCAATTAAAAATGCCTTTTAAACAATAGGCTGTATTGAATGATCCATTTCTGTGACTTAAAACACACGACTAAAGATATTTATCGACTGTAATATTGGTTCCCATTGATGAAAAAATGCTCGTCAGTGATTTTTAGGACCAGTAGCACTTTACTAAAGATTACAATTTGACCACTTTGGTTGGTAAGTACTTACAACTTTTGGTTTAGGTCTTTCCACTAAGACTGGTTTAGCTGCTGTACATAATTTAACAGGTTTAAACTCTTTCCGCACACCAGAAGGGCTTCCACCTGGTGTCCAGATTGGTTTTACAGAGAATGAACTGTCAGATCTAGGGGGTTCTATTGGGCTAATTTCTGGCTCTGTCTTTTTAAAAGTTGATGGTTTCATTCCAGGAGACCATACACCTGTTGAATAAAAAATGTTACTTGAAATTAATAACTAAAGAGAGAGAAATGGGAATTAATGTCAAATCGACACTATTCAGGACTATCATATGGTGCATTTCAATAATTCTCTTGTATGCTGGGTTCTTTAGAAGTGGGAGGAAACCTTCGTACTTGAATAAAAACCCATGAGATTTGACAGACAACCATGGTTGAAACCATTACTTGATTCTTATGCATTAGACCCTCTACATATAATCAAATTTTAAATCTTTGTCAGTTATATACAGGAAATATACAGTTGCCAAAGTATATTCAATCTAAGTACAATACATAAAGGGAATAGAGCATCAGGTATAGTTTTTCTTATGTAACATTGTTATTTATCTGGTTTTGATGGTTTAAGTACTGGTACGTGTATAGTTAGTTCTTTACCTGGTTTTGATGTTGGAGATAAAGGACCTACTGTATGATGACTAGTAACATTTCCATTTAAAACTGGCTGTGATGGTTTAACTGTGGAAAAAAAACAAAGATAGTAACAAAATGGTCGAGAAATTTTTTGTGTAAAATCTCTCCAGATTGGTTGTCAGACAACCAACAGTTAAGTCATTCGAGCAGTTCAGAAAGGTTGTCACATTATTATTCTTTTGTGGGGAATTGGAGCATATAAAAGACAATTAAAACTGATCAGGGGTAACAACAACACATGAAATTATGAAGTAATTATCAGAAATAATTAAACTCTAGTAGGCTTCTCTTCCTAGCCCTAACATAAACAAAATGTATGCTGGTAATGAAATGATTTCATCTGTTCAGGTTATTGAAAATAATTCAAAATCTGTAGGATTTCTTTTTTGGTGAACATAAACACTGTGTATTTATTTAAGTCACATGGGCATTTGTTGTTTGTGGTGTACGTATATTGTGGCCTGTCCGTAAGTTTGTCTTGTGTAATTTGTATGTGCTGCGGTCCCCCTGCACTTACTATTTAACCTCTACAGCATTTATGGACAGACATATAGCGGTAATGACTACATACAACCACATTTCAATGAGAGCATATAAAAACTGGACACTTAGTTAATATCCTTATCAAGATTTTAAAAGATTGATTAATTTATGGACACAGATATCTATCATGAAACACATACCAACATACCCATTTCCTTTTCAATCCATTATGTACACACTATAAAATTAACTATTTGTCCCCCATACTGAAGTTACTTTATATGATGAGAAATGTGAACAACATCGATTCATTAAATTTTTATCAAATATGGCAATATGCCATTCAAAGCATGGTTTTATTATTCCTGTGAGAAAATCATTTCATATATATACTAGTATATATGTACCCTAATGGTGATTAGACACTGGCAATTTTATTGATAATTCCCTGCCTAGGAATTAACTATATTGGTACAGATACAGATCTTATCGGTGTAAAAGATTTAATCGTACCTGTGGGTGAAGTGGTTGATTTAGAAGGAAGTGTGTTGAATGTTCCAAGGTCTGAAATAATGAACATATGTGATTGTAATATCAATGTATTTTCAGTATGAGAAAAAGTGACATCTGTGTTACCTTTAAGTTCTTCATTTATATTCATCCCAAACTAGATGAACATTTTCTTTACTTGGCTAGTCATTTCATTATAATAAATAGAAACTATTCCAAGGTAATTAATCAAATTTTCAAAGTTCGTTTATGTATCATACATATCTTCAATTCAACAAGCCAACATTGAGGCTGTTGTCCTCCACCAAAATCCCAAAATAAATTGCTGACAAATATTAATTAATTGCACATTTATCTTTTTGAAAAGTATCAAGCAATGAAACTGATTATCAATAATTAGTCTAAGCAGAAAATGTTCACGATTAAACTCAGTCAAGGTTTTGAAGTACCTCGTAGTAAAACTATACTTATTTCATCACTCTCCATCAGTTATAATCAAAGTTATCTTGTTCCAAAGCATCAACCAATGAAATTGCTTAGCTCTGCTTAGCTTTAGCCGGAAATATGCATGATCAAACTCTGTCAAGGCATTCACCTAATAGACACCTACACCAAGTTTGAAAATTCTACATCAAAGTCTAAAACAATCAGATTGATGTCTCTACTTTGCCAAAGCAGAAAATGCTCAGCATCAACCTTTGTTAATGTATTGATGTAATGAAACTATACACGAAGTTTCACCGCTATCACTCAGTTAAAATCACCAGTGGTGGCCAGGCAAGATAACCCACATTTTGCAAGTGATGGATAGAGAACAAGCTAAAAACAAAAGCGATTTTTTGTACGGTCAGGGGTCATAATACCGAAAGTTATGGTCTGAAATGCGCAAATATCGAACGGGACTGAGATCTTTGGGATAGAAAGATATATTTTAAGTTTCATCAAAATCAGATAAAAATTGTGACCTCTAGAGGTTCGACAACATTCTTATTACATACTTTTACACACTTTGTGTACAAAGAGCGGTGATTTTGTAGTGCAGTTACATTTTGATTTTCTCGAAATTCGAATTCAACCTGCATTATGGTGGGATGGTGATATATTTAATCAGTTTTTAAAAACAGGATAAAAATTGTGACAAGCTAAAAAACCCATGATTTTTCGTACACACAGGGGCCATAATCCAGGACGTTACAGGCTTATATGCGTGAATATCGACAGGAACTAAGATCTTTGGGTAATAAACATACATTTCAAGTTTCATAAAAAACGGATAAAAATTGAGACTTCTAGAGGATCCACAACCTTGGTATTACATATTTTTACACTATTTGTGTGCAAGGAGCGGCCATTTTGTCCGGCATTTTCTCGAGATCGAGAGAGAGAAATGGGGTTTTATGTCCACTCGACACAAACTAGATCATTTCGGGACTAACATATGGTTCAATTTTATTTCCATAATTTGCTTGCGCGTAGGGTTCTTTAGCAGTGGGAGGAAACCAGAGGACCCGGAGAAAACCCACGAGGTTGGACAGGCAAATCGAAACCCCGCCAGTTGACTCAATGACAGACTTTATGATACAGCGCGCACATGCTAACCATTCAGCCATCCCCCTCCCCGCAGTTTCGGTCCGATTTTCAAGAAATTCGAACTCAACCGACATTATAGTGTAACAATGATATATTTGAACAGTTTTATAAATCGGATAAAAATTGTGACCGCAGAGGGACCACAAGCTAAAAACGTGACTTTTTGTACAATCAGACGTCATAATTTAGGAAGTTACAATTCGATATGCTTGAAAATTAACAGGAACCACAATCGTTGGGTTATAAACATGCATTTCAAGTTTCATCAAAATCGGTTGAAAATTGTGACCTCCAAAATCTAAAAACATGATTTTTCGTACAATCAGGGGCCATAATCCATGAAGTGATGGTCCAATACATGCCAATATCAAAAGGAACCAAGATCTTTGAGAGATAGACCTACATTTCAACTTTCGTCAAAATCAGATAAAAATTGTGACTTGTACAGTGTCCAAAAAACAAATTGTGGCGGCGGCATAATACGTCAACATGAAGATGTGAGCGCATAAAAAAATGCTCATTATCGAACTTAGTCAAGGTATTGATGTGATGAAACTATACATCAAGTTTCATCACTCTCACAGAACCAAAGTTATCATGGCCCAAAGCATCAACCAATTAAATTACTTATCTCTGCTTACCCTGAGCAGAAAATGCTCATCTTCGAACTCCATCAAGGCATTCACCTAGGGGATGTTCAAATGTCAGTCTGGAACATTTCAAATTGACAGAATTGTAATCGTGTGACGTGGATTCATTCCTTTCACAGTTCTGACAACTGAGGTGGTGTGAGTAGAATGGTGACGTAATTAAGCACAACAAATATGTTTCAGCTGTCAGGGTTGGTTAAGATAATTTCTCATGCAATCGTGCATGCGTTCTAGCCCCTAATTCCCATTTTCACACGATTGTCACTATTTTTGGATAGAACAGAATTCAATTCTGGAACGTTCAATCAAGCATCCCCATAATCAATGCCTACACCAAGTTTGAACATTCTTCCTCAATTAGAAGGAGAGTTATTGTGTACCAAAGTCTTGACCAATCAAATTGCTTATTGCTCTGTTTAACCTGAGCAGAAAATGCTCATTATCGAACTTAGTCAAGGTATGGATGTAAAGAAACTATACACAAAGTTTCATCATTCTCACTTAATTAGTTCTTGTGTCTCAAAGCACCAACCAATCAAATTGCTTATCACGGCTCACCCTAAGCAGAAAATGCTCATCTTCGAACTCCAACACAACATTCACCTAATAACACCTACACCGAGTGTGAACATTTTAGCTCAATTAGAAAGAGAGCTATTGTCTCCCAAAAAGTGTGATGGACAGACAAACGAATGGACGGATGCACAGACGGACATACAGACCAATTTTAATTGTCCTCTGCTTTCTTTAAAAGCGGGAACAATTAATGAAACTCACCTTTCTTTTGACTTGGAGTTTTTGTAGTCTTTGGTAAACTGCCAAAAGTATTAGTAACTGAAATAATAAATAGATGTCTTTTAATTGAAATTGCTTCTTATAATGCCTGTAATATACAAACCAAAGCTTTGTTTTGCTATTTGACCTGAAAACATAATTTGACATCAATATTACCATATACATGTAGTAAGTCTTCAAACATCAGATGAAACAGTAGATGAATTTATATGTCAGAAAAGGTCACAAGTCAACCTATAAGTTATATGTTTATGTCAATGGGACATTAAGTGGCACTAAAGTTCAAACCTATAATAAGTAATCAAGAATTCTTTATGTTTGAAACATTGGAAGGAAATAGCTGCCATGTTTACAAATATTGATAAATACTTGATCTATACAAAACAATATGTGTGGTCATGGTTACTATTGTTTTATCATTATATACTATAACTATAAACATTTCTATTGCCAGTAAAAATAATTATCCAGCATTTAAAAAGGAATTTCAAACAGACAATATACCCAACATGACATGCTTCCAGAGAAAAGATCTTTGATATCTAGACCATATCTCTCTGTGTTTATTAATGAAAATAAAACCTGTATTAGTATGATGAAATTTGATGATTTTGTATTGTAAGACTGTCTAATAAATGCATGTTTAATTTAATGAGTAGAAATTCTGTTATTTACATTCATAAAAAAAGCATACCAATAACACTTCAAGAACCATAATAATACTGTTTTTGTGACCACCACCCACCCCTTCAACTGGCAAAATATAGTACTACATGAAAAAAAAGATATGTGGCATTTGAAATCTTGGTTGTTTCAAAATATTGAATGTAAAATGTGTATGTTTCAAAAATGACTTTTTGGGATAATTTAAACATAATACTTGAAATGCGATAGTCACTGTATATATTATATCAGACAGTTTGTTTTATGAACTCAAATACCAAATATACCATTTCTATATGAAATTCAAGGGGTATAAATTATGTCGCCTTGGGAAACATGCACTGTATGTTAAACCAGAAATTAATGCTCTCCAAAAATTGAAATGCATTAAAATGAAATCACATTAATGGTAGTAATGGCCTGCAACATAACACAGGTACAGAGAAGTTGTCCAATTAAAACAAACTAGCTCATTTTGGGACTAACATATGGTTCAATTTTATTTCAATAATTCGCTTGCATGTAGGTGTCTTTATCAGCGGGAGGAAACCGGAGGGCACGGAGAAAACCACGATGGTTAGACAGACAACTTTATTCCTTGTCTCATACAACCGAGGTATCGAAAACACGCCAGTTGACTCAATAACAGACCTAATGATACAACGTGCACGCGCTAACCATTCAGCGACACACACACCTCCCCCCTTTATACTTCTGAATCTGGGCAGGTTTAGCTATTTGTTCAGTTGTTACCATATATCCAGATGTCTGGGGTTCAGAATTCCATGTAAATATTATTGCCTGATTTAGCTATAAATAGTGGCGGATATTATGAATGAAATTGCATGCTAGAACACCTGAAGTGCCACATTTTTGGAGGAAAATCAGATAGCCAAGACTTCTGTTAGATTAAAATCACAAGTAGAATTTGCCCACTCTGAGGAGAGCTTCTACCCAGTTGATCTGTTCTCTGAAATCCAAGTTTTAACTCTTTTGCAATGATGGTATATGCACAATTGCCTGTATAAATCAGTCAATGGTTAATAATGTGAGAACATACAGACAGTTTGGGGTTTTATGGTTCTAGAGAGAAATGAAGATGGCTTTGGGAAATGTTAACTAAATGAAAATTTCAACAAGACTTGATGTTTACAGTCATATTAAGTAGCTAAAACATATTCAGTACATGTTTATCATTCTAGCTATGTTAATAGATTTTCCATGGGAAATAAGTTTCTTCCTATTCATGCAACAATGCATGTAATAAAGCCATCTGGAAGTATTGATATTATAATTTACAATATGAGTCATGCTAGCCATATAATATGAACACTGTAATTGGATTATTTTTGTTAAATTCAAACATTATTTTAAAATTCAAACTTCAAGCAGCAAATACCAGGCAATACCTCTGCTTTTTGCCTGAACATCCTCCTTCTTCTGGGGAACTATGATCTCCTCCTGAACTTCTGCTACCTGTTGTGGTCTTGCCTGCTCACGAACAGCTCTTTTAGGTTTAATCATTTCTTCGGGTCTAATACTTACAGGTTTAAATTGTTCATGAATAATTTTTTGAGGTTTGACTTTTTCTTCATGATTGAAAAAAGTGGGTTTACTTTCTTCATGAACAACCTGAATGGGTTTCATTTCTTCATGAATTACATTAATGGGTTTTCTTACTTCCTTTGAACCACTTACAATAGTGTCATGAGAATCTGAACTAGTAAGTGTAGAACTATTGGAGGGAGTGCTATCACCATGTGTACCTCTGTACGATTGATACAAGGGTGGTTGTCTAGGTTGTTCCTGATTGGTCCATACTGGTTTTGAATATTGAAAACCTTGATTTTGTCTGATATTGTCACTAGATTCCACTTTTTGTGTAGATTTTAAAGGTTTTATCGTTGGTAATGTAGAATATAAGTTAAAATCAAAATGTCCATCATTTTGGTGTTGGATTGTATTAGTGTCCCGAGCTGTTTTAACGGCAGGCTGTTGTTGTTTTGCTGATCGTTTCACTGGTAAAGTTGCATAAGATCCAGCACTATAAATTTGTTTTGGTGGCTCAGAGAGGCCACTTTGCCATGACGAAAAGCCAGAATCTGGTACCGGTCCAAGATTCAATCCATAAGGATCTGATTCACTTGCACTTCTGTTCCTTTGCGGTTTAGCTAACACAGTAATAGGAACATTCCTTTCAAATGAAGCTTTCCTAGGTACTTTATGACCTAAGTTCTGTGAAGACGTATAATAAGGAGCTGTAGAATGTCCTTGATGATAAGGCTGCATATTATGCTGTTGATTGGACTGTTCCACATTTATTTCTATATCAATAAAGTAAAAATAGATTCAGTAAGATAGCCATATTATTATAAAATTCAGGGAATTGATTTTCAATTTGTGTTACGGTTTCTTGGTTTGTAACAGTAGAAACATTTTTCAGTCATAAGCATTAGTTGAATTAAAAAATTAAACGATAGCATTATGTTAAGACTTAGCGTTAGATTTAAGGTAAAATAGTATGAGTATTAGATAAACAGTTACAGCAGTTATTAGGATAACAAATAAGCTACATGTACTGGTATTATTTTTAATCATGAGTCAATGATCTGCACAAAATGTCAATTAAATGATTTCAAATGAGGATTTTAATGGAAATGGAATGAACAGGATTTGGTAAGTATTGATTTTGGTAAAATGTAGATAGATCAAACATTTCAATACTTATTTCATGCTATCACTTTACTGAAAACCGTCAGGGTTAGAGTCATGGAATCAGAATAAAACGTAGTCAAGGACCAAGCATGCTTTTTCAGGAGAAATCAAACAGGTTCACTTCTAGAGGTTGTGGCAGCAAATCTAGTGGTGAGCATTCATCTAACTACCTTGACTATCATCACTTAAACAGGCATTTTTTTCTTGCTGATGTCTAAAAAGGTACAAGCCTCTGGTACTACCAGCAGGAGAAAGACTAGGTGATGATCTAGCATGTGGTTGTTTCACACCGTAACTTGAAGCAGGTTTAGTAGTATACAGTGACTTATTTCCATACTTAAAGCTGTCAGGATTATTTTGGACCCATAGCCGCTGCATGCTAGACCGATGTCGTCTTTCGCCCCATCGTATGTCTAAGAGACAAATTAGGAAGAGTTTACGATTACATGGGTATTAATATATTAAGTTATTTGAAAGAATAAAGGAGATATTAGCTGATTTAAATAAGTTATTTCTATAAAAAAAAATTGATTACAATACAATATTTTGAATAATTAATTTTAAATACAATGTAGGTTTTATCTTGGTACAGACACAAATGTCTCCTAAAGAAATCAGAAAATAAAACTGCTTTATTGTTTGTATGATCCATTAAATGTTTTGTGATTTTTAATGTACCATCTACACGTCACTTTCAGATGAATGTACCGACAATGTCTGTAGTTGGTATATCTTCTGTTTTATCAAAATATTGTTTCATCTATCATATGTATAAAAGTCTATATTACTAAGACAAATGTTACACCTGTATTAATATTACAAAGTAGCAGTAAGTAATAAGTATTCAAATAGTAATATGGGCAATGGGGGAATTTCCAAGGCATTATTATTCAATGAATTTAATATGATATAATATCCCAATTTAATATTTGTACACATCATTTATTTCTCAATTCACAAAATTTAGAAATAATATTTTCCTAAAAAAATTAAAAGCTTCTCCTGTATATAATAAATGTACATCATTATACTTAAACTTCTTGAAATCTGGATAAGGAAATATTCATTTACTTTGATTCCATGATGAACTATATTATATGTTTCCTGGCATATGAATAGTACACAGGTATGAGTCACTTATATACATAACCTACAATGATTTCTACCATGAGAGCTATTATTTACAGCAGGGTAAATCATACAAGTTACAAAGTTTGCAACATGCATAACTGATCTAGTCAGCTACACCATATCATGCCAGATATTTATAGTACCTAGAGGTCTAGTAGCCCGTTCAATATAGGAACCTGACAATTGTTGATGTGGATAACTTCCTGAAAATCAGATAAAGAATTAAGAGCTGGAAGGGGAACTATCGGGTGTGTTTTTCAATGTCAAGCATTTTAAATCGAATAACCAAAAGAACAGATGCAGAGATTGAAAGAAACGATAAGCAACCATGCTCCAAACTCTTCAAATATTTCATCTATAAACTCTGCTTCTGGTACTATGGGTTGGATTTCGTGGGGGAGAAACCAATATTTACAGTCCACCTCTTATAGTAACCAAGCCAGAAACAGAAAATCATGCTGAAATTCCACAATAAAACTGTATGGCATGTAACTTGATAAATGACTTTCTCAGTCCTTTTTCATTAAATATAAAGTGATCAGTTGACTAAACACTGCCTTTCAGATTTTCTACATGTAGGTGAAGGTTCAACATGCACTAGAAGTTTGTTATAGAGTACCGGTAGTAATATAAATGATTCAAGTCAGATAGAGAAAGATCTGTTAATGGTTTTGGGCATCTGTCAACAATACTGTAAATCTAATTTTATTTGATCCAAGCATCGAGCTGCAACTGTCAATAGATATGGTTTCAAAAATTGCCACAAGCAGAAATGGAAGATCAAGATAAAGGATATTCAATATGCTCTTTTCCAAAAGGCATTTTTTTATACTGAAATTAAGAAAAGCAAGAAGGCTGTTGGAGGAATTTTGCACCCATTTATAAAACTGCATGCTTCAAAAAAGGGCAAGCATATACCTGGACTCAAAGGCTGTCGTGGTAAAACAAATGATCTCTCGGAAGATGTTGGTGACATTGGTAAACTAATTGATTGTTTATATTTTGGCCTTGTTGGTGGAGACTGACTGAATACAGCATCAGCTGTCGAAGGCAAAAAATATTGTAAAGAAGCATGTTTACTGATAAACAAATGTATTGTTTGTTTATTTACAACATGCAAACTACTATTTATTACAATTACATTGCATTATTCTTTAATAGTTTTGGAAACAAACCTAATGTATGGTGATTTAACAGGTGGTAAATCTTCCTAATGAAGATCTATATATGATTTATCTACAGGAAATCATGTACGGATATTGTACCTTCAAAGTTTATAAAGTCTTTCATACTAATGGGATGGGAGCCTGAAGCTGCAGTGTTTGTGGTAGGTAAGGTATTAGTGGCATCTAAAGATAATGGTGCAATATTTTTCTTCCTATTTTTCTCACCTGTAATAGGTAACCAATGGGGAAGATTTGTTAATAAGGAAGGTGGAAGGATTAAGGACTTGTAGAGATATGAGGATTATATTTACTTTTATACAACATAAAGGTGTTATCAAAACAGTCATTTTCTAAGGTCATGATCAGATACCTAATAAACAGTGTTTGGAAAATATACAAACATCAATTTACAACAAATTTAATTATTAATTGTCTGTTAATATGAATGGTGTGCAAGCAGAATATTTGTTAAGTGAGTTACCGCAGGAACAGTGTATAATATACAACAGAGGAAGGGAGAAATACAGAAATAGAAAGAAGGAACGCACCACCATATTGTGACCACCCTGAGGTAGAAGACGAAGGTGTTTGATTATGATATGAATCCATTTTGTTTGATCTTAATGCAGGTCTACGTCCTGCACCTGAAAATAAGTGGTAGAAGCGGTACATGTAATTCCTTTATGATAAAATAATTGTTTTTTTTATCAATTGAAAACAAAGTTCTAATTTGTGACATATATAAACTGTACAAAACCCAAAAATATTTTATCAGCTTATACAGCACTGAATTCCCACAAATCATTTATGGGCATTTGATAGAGGTTTAACACACAATAAGTCATATAATTCACATATATATATCAAAAGTCAAATGTTTTAATGTGAAGACCGTTGTTATTATGCATAAACAGACATTTGTGTAGAATGGGCTGGCGTGTACAAGTAGATAGCAGAATTATTATTTTTGTCTAAGAGAGACAAAGATGGCTGAGTGAAATCAATAGAATCCAATGTTAACATAAAATGACCATTAAATATGTAGTTTACCTGAGTTTACATGTGTGTCTGATGAATGATGTATGTCTCCATTCAACACTCCGTTTGATTTTGGTTCACTCCTGAAAGGTGAAAACAAAACAAAACTCAACATAAGAAAAAAAAAATAATAAACATAATCTAAAACAATAAAAATAAAATAACAAATAATCTAAATAAAATTGTAACCAAAAAAGACGATTGCATGCATAAAGTAACAACAAAATTTAAGTGTGAACTGTTTTTGTTCCAGGTAGTTGTGCTACATTATATATAAACTTACTGCTTCAGTTTGTGAGGTTAAAAAAATAACACTTTTATAATGTAAACTAAATGACAAGTTCTGTGTAATGAATAACATCCTTATGTTAGAGAACACAAATCTAATGCAACTCTGCATGTACCCGACTGCCAGTGTTGGTATGTGTTGGGATATTTACATTCCGATTCTGTTTAATCATCATCATCATCATTATTATTAGCCCAGTACTTAATTAATTTCTAAAACTCAAAAAATGTTTATGTTTCAGAGCTCTACTGTTACTGAAATAGAAATATGATTGTTGTTTCGACATTAGGTAAACATCAGGTAACAGGTTTTGTAATCTAAACATTTGTATGTGTAGCAGGATTGAAAGAGACTGTTCAGTTAACCTTTTTATATTATATAAAAGGTCAAAGTGGCACCTTGGTTTAAGGGCAGTGTCCATTGACCCAAATTCTTTCTTTATATTCTCGACCTGAAGAATTCTTTTTAAAAACACCTTTACTACAATACTTTTGTTCCAGACAATCCCCTACTTAAAGGTGTACATTACATATACTTGCGAGACATTTTGAAGTAATGGAGAAACATTTAGTAATATCTTAAATATACAGAAATCATTGATAAGAGAGAGAAATGGGGTTTAACGTCCCTCGACACAAACTAGGTCTTTACGAGTTTGAGTAAACCAGAGGACCCGGAGAAAACCCACGAGGTTGGAAAGGCGACCCTACTCCTTGTCACGTACAACCAGGAACTCAATGACAGACCTTATGATATAGCGTGCACAACCTAACCAATCAGCCATCCAACCCCACTTTCAATATAAGATAATCACATTACATTAAGTGTCTAATAAATAGCAACCACTAATGACATTCATTTGCTTGAGAAAATTACTTTGATATTGAAGAGCAATTCATAATCGTTTTCCAAGTAGCCAAATAACTTATGATAAATCAAAATACGATCATAAGAAAGTAAGCACCAAACTAATATGCCACTCATTCTGAATGGCATTTATTTGGTACTTTTTGATGGAGAGAGAGAAATGGGGTTTAACGTCCCCGTGTCACAAACTAGGGACTAACATATGGTTCAATTTTATTGCAATAATTCACTTGTGCATAGGGGTTTTTAGCAGTGGGAGGAAATCGGAGGACCCAAAGAACTCCCATGAGGTTTGACAGGCGACCTTACTCCTTGTCACGTTCAAGCTAGGAATCAAAACCACGCCACTTGACTCAATGACAAACCTTGTGATTTCAGGTGCACACGTTAAACCACTAGACCACACAATCCCCCCTAGTTGATGGATGTCATGTAATTAAAAATAAACAGTTTGGTCTGAATATAATATTCTGTTACTCCACAATCACAACTATTCCATGTTTGTTTACTGTAGATAAGGATAAAGATATGTAGATGAAATTCTTACATTTTCTTCATAGTATATTATAGTCTATCTAGTTTACATCAACCAACCATATGTTAGTCATTACAATCTGTTTACATGTTTATTGATCAAACACAAACTTATTGAAACAACTTGTTGACATAAACACATTCTATAATATTAAACTTAGGCGATGTTCAATTAAGGTAACACCAAAATCTATATATTAATCAATACTATGGAAACATTCTTCGGAATCATTAGTCTCTAAAGTAAATCTTGACAGGAATAACAAAATAACAGTAAAATATATATATATTTTTTTTTTTTAAATATACCTTTTAACTTATCTATATTCCATTCCTATGCAGTTGAAATTCAGATTATTCCATTTTCTTTCTTACACTGCCCTTTGAAGCTAAATCTACATTGCACTGACTACTAAACAAATATTTGTTTTATTTACCTTTCATAACAACAACATTTTTTACATTACAAATAATAATATTGCAGGATGATATATACTTACTTAACTGAATTAACTGCAAAAACTTTAAGTTGATACATGATGTAATCCAATGAAATCACTCAGACACAATAAAAAAACAGTTTCCAAGATGTGAATTTCAATTGTAATACTCCAATAAACAAGATTAACTATGAATATTCCATAGAAAAGACTGCATCCAAACTATTCAAAACCACTAAATGTTGAAATATTCCTACATTTTATCTATAAAGGCTTGAAGAAAATAAACTATCTAACTGTAGATTTTGTACTGCTACATGTACAAGGACTATTCAAAATATTGATCACTGGAATTAGTTATAATAATTATAAAGCAAGTGAAGTTCAAGACTGTGCACTCATCTAACACTACGACATGACTATTGATCAGATCTATGTTGATGATGAGTATAGATATGAAAGAGCAGCTTTACCTTTCAAGATAATGAAAGATGTGTTAGGATGTGACCTATCCACCACATGTGGCCAATACTCATGGCAGTAAAATGTGGTACGGCCCAAACTTTACATGATTGGCTTGTATGGAATGAGTAAGATATCTGGAAACCACAAAAGCCTATCTCTCTACCTGACTCCATTATTACAGGTAGTTTGTTACCTGTTTATATTTATTTTCCTTTACTCAGACAGGGGTCAGGTTGATTTGTTGTTTATAAAACCACCTTTATCATTTACTCCATATTTACATGTGCAATTCTAGTAGGTCAGACTTTCTCCCTACATGAAAAGCACTTTGCCAAAATATATTATCGTCATTTCGGATTTGGGGCAAATAAATAATAATAAAACAATATGTAATTTCTAATTTTACATATAAGTATTATTTCACTTATAGATAGCCATTAAAAAAAAATGTGTGAATAACATCTTTTCCTCTTTGGAATTTGGAAACAAACTATTCACATGCAATTCTCTCATATTATTTCCATTAACTTTTACATAATCAACACACTGAATGTTATTGTTTTTCTTTTAGATCAAATGTGATGTTATACTCAATTATTGATAATGTAAATTAATATAGTAACTGAATTCAGATTTTCAAAATACACACTGGTCCAACACTTAAACCAAAGATTTGGAATGGCAGAATGCTTGCAAATGAATAGGAAAGAAGTAATTCTTTTTAATTTTATTTACCTTTCCAAAATGAGATTAAATATCAACATACTGTACAATCAGCAAACAAGGAATGTGATAGGAAAAAGTTACACAACTTCTAACAATGATGATAATCAAGTGGTTGAAAGAATGAAGAAATCGGGCTCCAGTGTTCCAGACAGATAAAGATCACAGACATCACTGGTAAGAATTAATCAATCGTCCACTAAACCTTTGTTATGACACTTAGATTGTCTTTTTATGACCCCAAAATAGCAACATTCAACAAGATTAATTCTACAAATAAGACTGGATGTTGGAGATTTTAAGCTTAGCTGAGACTTCCAGTGATTACACTTATAATCTCTGTTAAATAATAAGGCATTCTTAAAGTAGCTAAGTCTCTAACTCAATATCATCCAAAATCTTCAACATTGAAAACACGATTTATTTGTCAAATTAAATCAACATTCATATTGTGATCTTACCGGAAAAAGATGGGCTTTTGATATCCAATATTTAAGACAAAATAAACATTTTACCATTGGTACACGAATCGTGTACCATAATGCGCTTCAGCCCCAGTTGTATCAAGAGACTCGAGGGACGAGGCTAGACACATTGCACAAATCAAACTGCGTATGTAGACTGGACTAACCAGACACCAGAAATTTGCACTCGCTTGAGACTGCTGGCTTATTTCGCCAAACATAACTGATTTGAAATTGGAGTAAAACGGAAACCATTGAATGTAAATCAGTTTATATACATTCATATTACAGTATTATATGCGTTATGACCCACTTTCGTCAATTTCTAGGTCCCAAATGTTAGCGATTTAGCTCCTTTAAACTAATAACAGAATCAAGTTGCTCCTATTCATACTTCTTTGGAGAATATCTTAGAGGTATGAATTGCCTATTATGTAAATTTACTCCATAAACAATGAAATTAAATGAAAGAGGAGAATCTAATTAAGGAGTTCATTTTATAAAATCACTAAGAAATTTGAGAATAGGATGGTAATTCTTTACCTTCAATTAGCAATATAATGATGATGAGTAGTCTAGTAATATTATATGGTACAGAACCAATAAGTGGGTGGATTGGTAAACATGTTATAAGATTTGGTAAGTTAAAGGTAAGTATGTGTATATCAGCTGTTAATCTAACACAGCTGCTAAATATATTAAATACTTATAACACCAGGAAAAGGTTAAGCAATATTAAAATCAAAGCAATATTTTATCATTTTCTCCTCCAATTTCTTTTTATAAAATGTAACATTCAAAGATATTGGTCACTTAGATATAGGAGATTTTTACTGGGTTAGATCACAAAGTCTAATATGGGCTAGATGATCAGTATGGTCCAATGCTTAATTCTTTACACAGATCAAAGAAGCTGACTGAAAGATCAAAGGTTCTTTCAGTTCCCAGAAGTTAATGTCTTGAACACATGAAACTTCATATCAATGAATCAGTGTGAGGCTTACCATTATTCCATTCTATTACCCGTAATTCAACTTCAATAGCTTTTAATGAGTAATTTGTCTCTTAATTTACTTCATATAGGGTTCAATTTATGTAACAGTGAACCATAAAATTCTAACCATTTTCTATTCATTAATCAATGTACAACAAATCTTTGTTTTGGGACCTTGTTATTACAAAGCCATGTGTATCAATCTAGAGAGGATTTGATGAAAATTTTTATGTAATTGGTGGAAAGTAGCTCTCAATTTTAAAAAACAGACCCAGATCAATGGCCTTTCGTTGTGACTATTTGACCT